TAATAGCAAACATTGTTACTACTAGTAAGGCACTTGTTTCTAAAAGCTAACATTGTTACTACTAGTAAGGCTTTTGTTTCTAATAGCAAACATTGTTACTACTAGTAAGGCTTTTGTTTCTAATGGCAAACATTGTTACTACTAGTAAGGCACTTGTTTCTAATGGCAAAGATTGTTACTAGTAGTAAGGCACTTGTTACTAGTAGCGATGCACTTGTTCCTAGAAGCTTCTTTTTTCCGGTCTAGTTTGCAGCACTGGGGCCTCGTGAGTTCAGCTCGCTCATCGGCAAATCTTTCTCAATGAAGACCGGCCCTCAGAAGGATTCTCAGAAGGATTCCAGAAAACCCATCATGAATTACCATCTGGGACAGCACCCATCCCCAGGCTCATGTGCTTCCGCCCACTCTCCAGGCGTTGGGCTTGGCAAGGTGCCATGGCCTGACTGGGTGCATGTCTTAGAACATCGGTGAAGAGAGACCAATCTGGGATTCCATTAAATTCCTGTCTTAGAACATCTGGAGCTTTGGTTTCCTTTTTGGTCAGTCTTGGCTTTGAGCCTTTTGGATCAGATCGAGTTCCACGGTGCACGTGTGGTCGGAGATGTCTTTTGAACAATGGCCAAGTCGCTCTGGAGCTCTGCTTGGAGGTTCTCAGATCACTTTGAAGAGTGCTTCAAGCCGCCCATGGACAAGGCATTTGGGCTCATTGGTCGAGACACGTACCGGACAAGTAGTTGTCCCACTTTCATAGTCGGCTGCTAGGTTCTGAGTGCATGGATTTCTGGTTTCCCTCCTGCACCCCATCGGTTTTCGCTGCAAAAAGGGATTTCCCCCAAGAGCCTTCCACCTCCGACCCGGTTGCCTCCAGTTGAAGAGCTCCTTGCTGGAGAAGTCCATCAGGCCGGATACTTCGCGTGTTTGATTTCGCGTGCTCGAACCAGCTTGTTGACGCGGGCAAGCTTGAAATCCGGCAAATCTGAGAGAGAGAGAGAGAGAGCTGTTTGCCTTCGCTGGGCCCCGTCCACTTCCCTTCGCTGGGCCGGTCTCGGGTCACATCCGACGAGCGTGTCGCGTCTGCAGGCAGCGTGCCAATCTGATCATCCCGGATTCGGCCTCCAACTTTCCGGCTTGGACGGAGTCCCGGTGGATGGGCTGGTCTTTGTTTTGGACTCTCTACTTGAAAAGTCTTGACATCACAGGTGCCAGGTTGGAGCAACATTCTGGTCCTTCTGGTGCTCAAAAGGAATGATTTTGACGGGAACATCCTTGAAGGAGTGCACTTCAAGCGTTAGGAACCGACTCAGCTTCTTGAACTGACACACAACTCCAAAGCCAAGCCAAGTTGACATCCCTAATTTGGCCACATCATCCATAGCCATGGATTCCTGAGAGGTCTTTTGACCACTATCTTGCTTCTTTCTGTGCCTCTACCAGCAATGGCATGACACTGTCAGAGGTTCACTGCTTTGCGGGGTCTCCCTTAACACCCGGCGAAAGCAGGGTTTCGGTTTCAGCGTGCTTTTCTCCTTTTGTCAGGCGACCAAAAGGATGCTGGAGCAGTTGCTCAAAGCAGGCCTTTTCTCGCCCGGGTGTGAAACCTTCGAGAGCAACAAACCCCACCGGTTCAGCCATCCTTGCAAGCACAAAGCAGCAGGTGGCGGTGGGTGAAAGCACCCACCGCCCCGCCGAATTGACAAAACTTCTTTCTGGAGCCGGGGGGTTTGACGGACGGTGCAAAAAACCCATGTCGCCCCAAACCGTCCGTCGTTCTCGTTGAAAGATCTCCAGGCTATCGCCTCCGCTTCGCCGCTGTGTGCCTGCGGGGGCGGGGGCATGACGGTGTGGCCGGTGGACTGAGGTTTTGAGGGCAGGACGGTTTCTAATGAGCTAGCAAAATGAAAAGCTCGCAGTAAGGAAAGTGATGGCAGGGAAAGGTTCTGATGGCTGGCAATAGGGACAAGCTTATGACCAGTGAGGCTTTCAGTGGCAGAAAGTGGTCGGGAAGACTGGCGGTGTGCCCATTGTTGACCCCTGGCATGGGCTTATGGCGGTATAATTAATCCTTATGGGACGGACAGCTCCTTGGTCAATATGTTTCTATAGCTCTGGATGATTTGGATGGCTCAAACCACCTGCTGTTTTCAGGTATGGTGACGAAGAAGAGCTCTTGCGCTGGGTTCACAGATCCGCGTGGTTCCACGTTGCGCGCGGGACACGCAGTTTCACGCGGCCGGGCTCCGGCGCTGGCGAGGTCGTGGTCGAGCTCGAGCATCCCAAGAAGGGAAACAGCCGGCTGCTGAGAGCAAAAACGTCCTGAACAACGACAAAACCGCCATAGACATCGTTGGATTTTGGGTGCTCCTTCTTTTCGTAGCAAAGGCCCTCCTTTAAGCCCTCACACCAGTCCGTAGTTTACATGGCTGGGTAGAATCGGCCAACAAGCAAACATTGCCCCGTCATGCTAGTGACTGGATCAGAGTCCTTCCTAAGGTTCACAGGCAAGAACTGGCGAGCCTCCGTCGAAGCAATCCTCCAGCTGCAGGACTCATCCTCTTCGGTTGGGGGGTGTACTGGCAATCAACGACCATCAACGTCCAGGGACCCCGGCATCCCTATTCGCAACCTTACTGAGCACGGGTGGGGTTAGGACATGCAAAGTATCTTTTGAACGAAAAAGGAGCACATCTTTTTGAAGGAAGACGGGCCTTCAATATTGAAGGCGTAGAGATGTAGACCGTTTCCGCACCCCACCAATGGAAGGGGGGAGACTTCCGTTTGCCAGATCCGTCCTTGCCACCTTAGCTCGCTCAAGCGAGCGACTCGAGCGAACGTCGTTCAGTCCAGGACTACTTGGAGACCACGGGCTTGGTCAAAGACTCTGGTCTGGTGACTGCAGTGGCCCGAGAGGCAGCAAATTTCGCTCACCCACAGACCAGAGCTCGTCAAGGGAGCTTGCTATGGCGACTTCGTCCCCCCACTTGCAGATGAAAGAACCTGTGAACATTGGTTCCTCATCGATAAGATGGCAAGAAGAACACCTGGGACCCACCCGCCGCACCTGCACCCGACCCCAGGCGGCGCGCTCGCGTTGCTCGGGGTGGGACATTCGGACGCTGAGGTCCTGGACAACTCGGGCCCTCGCCCCGAGCCCATGAGTCGGAGGCCGAGGACGGAGCGCTCTCCCGGCTTTTTCAAGAACTAGCAGTGGGGTGGTGTGATGCCTTGCGAGTGAGGAGAGTGAGGCTCGAACATCCCGTCTCGGAATGGGCGATCCTGTGACTGCTACCATCAATCTTGAATTCAAGGGCCACTGAACACTCCTCCTTCAGCTTCGTGTCCCCATGCTTTGCGCATGCACTTGTTCCGGAACTTCCTTCGTTGCTCCTGTCAAGTAGGGTTTCCTGCCCATGCCGACCCAGGTCATGCCGATTTGCAAGCCCGCCTCTGTACTCATTGACGGACAGAAAGCACAAACCAAGGCGAGAGCAGAGAGCACGGAGATTGGGAATTTTTGGGTGCGTAAATAAGGACAGCTGTGGATTCCTCTATAAATCAAAGTAATCGAGCTATATATTTACACATATCATACAGCCATTTGGATGTTGGGACAGTTTGGGATGCTGGGAGTCAACATGAGAAACGGTTTCAGACCACACGTGCGATGATGGAAGAACAGGGTAGGGACTTTGAGACGCTCGTCTGGATGCTCCATGCAAATCTTTTTTCACTGTGCCATGTTTTTTTTTGGCATATTCCCTCAACCTTTTATTTTTAGTTTTGACTTTCTTTCTTTCTTGCTTACTTTCTTACTTTCTTACTTACTTGCTTTTATTGGGAAGAACCTTTGTTGAGCTTCCACTGTTCGCAGGAGAACGTGCTGGCCAAAGAAGACCCACATGACCTTGCTGACGAAGCTGCCCTGAAGAAGCTGATGCACCAGAGAGGCTTTTCTCGCTTTTCAGCGAGTGCAGGAGCTCCTCTATACCTGAGTCCGGGCGTCCGCGAGTTTGTGCTGAAGCTGCTAAGCGGCAAGATTCCTAGTTTCGTCAGGTTTGAACAGGACTGGCGCTTCAGGGAAAATGTTTGCAGAGCCTTTGCCGAGCACCCCATTTTGGATGGAAACAGACTTCCATGCTGGGCTTTGAGATGCTTTCTTCCCGCATGTTAGCAACTCTCAGAACCCTGAAAAGATCGTGGGACATGTCTTTGGAGCATATTCTTTTCCTGGTGACGATAGCACGTACTGCTTCCCTATGAAAGGAGCAATTGACCCTATGGAAGTATGCTACCATATGACGGACGTTACTCTACACCACCTGGACCTGAAGTATATATTACCTACATCCGCAAGCATATTTTCACACCAATATATTCTGTGCAGCAATCTGTCCCGCTGCCCTGACATTTGAAACTGAACATCTTGATCTCTGCCACCCTGTCGCCGTTTTGGCACACAGACCTCGTTCCCACGGGGCTTTGTCTGCTCCGTGTGTGACGTGTTATCTTTTGCGACCGCAGCACGGCAACTGAAAGGCCATCGTGGATGGGGGAGAGGGCCTGGCAGCCAAACCAGGGGGACTGGTGGCTGTGGCTCGGCCGACGAACATGGGAGCCTTCCAGTTGTATCAATTCCATGAGATCCTTCCGTGTGAAACCTGACCACGCGCGCCTGAAACACGCACCTTCGTTGATTGGTTGCCCTTGGAAATTCCCCCCACCTCCACTCGAGCACCCTGGTGCTGATCCCGAAGCCGTGGGCCCCCTCGGGCCCCCCGTTCGCACCGTGCACAGAACCGGAGGGAGGGAGGATCAGACGGATCGATGCCCTGCTCGGTTTCCTGAGACTGATAACAGAATGGCAGTCACTCCATACTTGGGTAGTAGCCGCTGACTGGACGAGAAACCGGAATTGGCTTCTGGTTGACCTGACCAGCAACTGGGGTCGAACTCGCCAAGTAGTTGGAGATCCACGCAAAACCAGCCCAAGTACTTTTCAGTTCTGACCCAAGTCAAAATAGTTTTCGTCCAGTAAGTTCTTCTAACACTCTTTTTCCTTCCAAAAGCCAACACTTCGCCCTCCGAAAAAGACCCCATCCTTCGGAATCTCAGCAGTCCATGGATCTGGCCGCACGACGAAACACCGACCGCACGACCGTTCCAAAAACATCAGAAAGAACAACAGGGCCGCAACACGACCTGCCGCGCTTTTTCTATGTTCTTTTGGCATCACCTCAGAGTGGCCTTTTTTCTTTTCTTTTTCCGGAAAGAGAGTCGCGGTTTGGGTCGCTCGAAGTTCAGTTCTGCAGGTCCCCCCCCCATGACATACATGGCCAGGGCCTCACAGGGTGCCGGGTGCCGCACCCCCCGTGCGCGACCATGGTCAGCGGTCGAGATGGTGATTGAACATGTTTTTGTGGATTCTCGTCTTCTCTCAACTTGGTAGTTTCATGTACTGTAATTAATTGTTATTTCGGACTTTCAAGGAGAGCATAGGAAAGCTTAGATTCCTCTATATTCCTCTCTTGAACTGAGCCGTGTGCTGGACCAAAAAGATTGATTCCCCCCGCCCCGTGCCTGTGGCTGTGTTTAGTTTTGTTCAGTTTCTTGTGCCGGGGCAATACTACAATCACCCAGCCAAGAATGTCTTGGACATTTTCTTAGAACCATCTCACTACCAAGGATCATTTCCGAGGATCTCTTGCGCCAAACCCACCATGACTTAAAAGAACATAGAGACTTTCATAAGTTCGGCATGTCTTCTTCTTTGAGAAGTCCAGCTTTCATGGCAAGAAATCCTGACGTGCCATGGTTCCGGGTCATTTTTGCGAGCCAACCGGTTAAAACCAACCGGTGAAAACAATGGTTCGGGTCTCCGAAGGGAATTCCATCTGAAGCGCGCTCCGAGGCTGGTTCCTCCTCATGTGGAGTAATGAATGTCGCTGGACCCAGGGAAGCACCTGGTGCTTGGGAGGGTGGAACTCCAAGAGATGTCAGTATTTTCAGGTGTGCTCATGTTCATGATTTTTTCACTTTCAATTTGGTTTTACAGTCAAAACACTGTCTCACTGGGTACCCACCTGGTACGATGTGCTGATTGCGGGTGGTGGGAGGGGGGGTGGAGTCTGACGGGAGTCGGACTCGGGCAGAGCTGCGGAGACTCTGGGCATCGATACCTGTGAGTTGCTCATGAGGGAGCCAGGTTTCATCTGCACGTTACTCTTCGTTCTTTTGTCAGACTTGTTTGGTGGTTTCCTTTGTATGATTGTTTTTTGTGTGCTGGTTTTGTATGGGATTATGACGAAAAGTAATGAGAGATTGTGAGAGGACACTGGTCTTATCCGGTGTTGGTACATACAAGACCAGAATGACCAGAACACACGGAGCAATGGACACAGTGATCGTGAGTAGAATCCATCGTCAATCTATTTTTGAAGGACCATGCCACTAGAATTCGTATGGGTCATGCAAGTGATGCATGACAGTTAGGACGCTACTAGGAGCAAAGTGCATCGCTACTAGGAGCAAGAACGCTACTAGGGGCTCCTGGCCTTACTACTAGGAGCAAGAAGCTAGTAGAAACAATCAGTAAATAGACTTTAATTATTGAGTTTAAATAGTAAATTACTATATATAACAAATAATTAGAATTTCGTTGTTTTATGTTAAACTCAATTAATCATATAGTAGAATTTAATTACTGATTAATACTATTAGAATTTCGTTGTTTATGTTTTAATTGATTATGACAATAATTCTAGTTTAATTATGACATTCTTTTCATTCTTATTTCCAAGGCGCAGGCGCCGGCCGCGGCCTTCTATGTGGCAGCAGGGCCGGCCATGCATGGAAGTCAACTGTTGTCGCTTGGCGCAAAGGTGGAAGGTGGTGCTTGTGTGCGCCAAGGAAGCTCACAAGGCTTGTTGGGAGGGATGTCCTTTTCTTGTTCATCTACTCGCAGATTTTGTGTGAGGCAAACAGATTGTGTTGAATCTCAAAACCCACACAGGTCCTGTCACCATGTGACAGGGCATGGTGCACTGATATTTTTCAAGTGTGAGGCTGCCACATAAATCTCCCCCAACACATCATCTTACTATACCTCTTCCATCCCCTCCTTCTCACCTGTGCATCTGCCCAAAAAACCCGCCCTTCACATCTGGCTCTCCAACGCCCTTCACCCCGTCCTTCGGCGCCGTCCGTGCTTACGGCGCCGTCCTGCCGTCCGTCGTCCGTCGTATCGGCCGCGTGAGGTATCCTCAGCCCATGGGCTTCATGGCCATGGTGGCCCCGCCGATGCCGGATGGCATCATGGCGCAGCCCTGCGGCCGCGAGCTGAGAGAAGACGGAGAAGACCAGACGAGCCTTGGGGGGAGCTGGTCGGAGCTGGCAGATTGCTTACTTTTGACATGAACGAACTATGAAGCCAAAGTGATCCAAAGTAAAGCTTCCCAGACCATTTGGCGCCACAGACGAGATGGCGCCCGCTCCGCGACGCGGCCCATGTTCCGCTGTTCCGAACGCGCGGAACGCGCGATGCCGTCGCGGCCATTGAGGCATGATCCCTGCGGCGAAGCCCAAGGCCAAACCCGCCGCACCCAAGAAGCAGAGGCCGACGTGGGGGGGAAAAGGGCGTCGTGGTGGTTGCTGCGATGGACACCTTGGACCCTTGGAAGTGACTTCTAGGGAAAAAGGTCAGCAGTGATGGGTGGTCGCTCAGGCAGAGTCAGAGGTCCTGCCAATCCAGGTGGAGTTCTCACACTTCTCATGGCTACTTCTGAAATCGCGGGACCCTTTTCTCGGGATGGAGCATCGAACCCGTCGTCCGAACCGTGAAAATGGCAGGTCGCGGGAAGAGCCCAAAGCGCGGGCAAAGGAGGCCGACGATGAGGAGGCGAGTGAACGACGCGCAGGATTAGGTGGCTAGCGATGTGGCCGACCGGTTGGTGACTCACAAGTGGAGAAAGGTTTTTGGACAGTGAATTTGTGGATGAGGTTCTTTTCTTGACCAATAAGTCAAACATACCTAGAAGTTCTAGAAGGCAGATATTTCCTGCTTTGAAGGTCACAAGGCTTGGTGGAGAAACCGTGAGAAACCTGTGAAACGAGTTGACCCAGACGCCTGAGCTGCCTACCCTACCCTTCAAGAAGCGGATGTCCATCGTGGGTCCAGGCTGCTAGGAAGAGAACGTTATCAGTGCTGATTTGGTGTGTGAGTAGCCGGACTCTTCTTTCGGAGATCGGCCTGTTTTTCGTTCCAAGCTACCAGCCCTTGAAACTGGATGCGTCAAAGTATACAGAATCATCGAGGATAGCTCTGACAAATTTGTCACTTTGGGCCGAACACTCACTCCAAAAGGAGTTGACCTTCATCCATTTTCAGCTTCGAAGGATGTTGGGCCCCCACCTTGCTCCACCCGCCCAGGTCTCAGGCAGAGGGGTGATCTCGTTGCTTCAGGAGCTCCACCGACTTTCGCTTTTTCTTTTCGGAGAACGCGCGGGTTCTCCCCGCGGAGCGGAGCAGGAGTTTGTGCAGTGCTCCAAGAACTTCCCAACCCCTCAGCATCGGCCGATCCTGCAGTACCTTGGAGGGAGGAGATGGAGTTGGAGTGGAGAAAAGGAGTGGGCTGGTGTAAAAGGGACCTTTGGGGGAGGGAACACGCGGTGAAGAAGGGTGGGTTGGTGTGGGGAGTGTGAAAAATGGTTCAGTTGTTGCAGGGGTTCAAGGTTTTTTGGGGATGTTTGCCCTTGCATTTCTTTTGGTCAAGTCTGGTGTCACTTGAAGCAGCCTATTTGCAAAGGATACTCAAGAAACTGCAAATCCCGCTCTCCAGCGTGTTTCAGCCAAAAAGGGTCCTTGGTTTAAAGCTTCAAAGGCAAGCCAAAACCTCGAACTCCCTAAAACATGGAGGCAGGTTTTCACCGTTTTTCCAGTTTCCGCGTGCGGTTGTGCGTGGGTGGCGACTGGATCAAGCCTTTTTCCGGCGACGACGAAAACCACCGGGGTGCGACTTGCGGCGAGTCACGAAAACCATGACCTTGCGTCACGTCACCGCCCGGTGCGGCCACCGAGGTGGACATTTGACACCCACATGGCCGACAACACCAACTTAGAATTTCGGGCGCAGGTGGGGAGGGACCTGGTCTTCACGGAAGGACCTGGAGCTAGGGGCTGAGTGGCGTGTGGAGCTGAAGGCAGCCGAAGATGCTTGTGGAGTTGCTTTTTGTCATCACTCTTGGCCCACAAAAGACTCCTTACGCTTCCTGGTCTCACTTCATTAGGCTTCCTGAGTCCATCATGTCCATCCACTTGCTGCTTAAAGATTTTAAACCCCAGTTCCAACGTGGTGGATTTCTGTCGCTCGGTCTTTCTGTCGTGGGGCCGACGGTCCAGGTCTCGTTCCTTTTGGACGGCGTGCCACACCATGTGGCGGGCGCCTGGCAGCAGTCCAAGAAGCTCGCGCAGCGGGACACTGCTGAGCGTTGCCTAGGCTGAACACCCCCGCGCGCTTTTTGCGCGCGGGTGGCCGTGCGAGCCGGTGTGGGCGGAAGATGGAGAAAGGATGGTTTGGGCGGTGCATGAGGAGGGAGAACTTCTCTGGAAGAGAGTTGGTTCAAGAACACCGATGCGTGCTTCGTTGTGGATTTGTGGCAACATTCGGTTCATTCCCACGCAGCAAGTGATTAAAGAGCCATGCGGCCATGACACATATCACGTTCTTTTTTTGGTGTTGTGGGCCGTTGGAGACTCATTTGCATTGCTCCTGTGGCAGGTGACGGTGATCGATCGCCCGAAAAAGTCAGGCCTCCTTGAAGCCTCCCGACAGGTGACGGTGATTGGAGGCTTCCAGCGGTAAAGGCCCAGAAATGCTGGATACATCCACCAAACCAAAAACGAACACGACGTCCACGGATTTATTCACCCCCCACAGATTCCTCCTCCTGCTCCGCCTTCCAACAGGCCTCTTCGTTGGGTGCTGGGGCGCCTATCTACTGCAGACCACCGAGAGCACTGGTCCAGACGTGGACCTCCAAGAGGACCCTGTTCAGGCTCTTCAGAAGCCCCGGGCTGAGGGCGTTGCGCGGGCTGGATGGGTTCAGGTGTTTGGCACTTTTTGGGAAGCTGGGAACCTAGTGGATCCCACTCAGAGGTGGAACCTCAAATTGGAGATTTTCTGTTGCTTGGTTTTGATGAAGCAGCCAGTGACACAGTGGCGATTTGTGGCTTCAAATTGACTCAGGGCAGTAGTGAGAAGTTGAGACATGTGTATAGAAGTCGGGCAAGCGAGTATGGAGGGGTGGGGGGTGAGACGAAGAGACGAAGAGGTTGAATTCATTCCAGTTCCCGTAACATTCTTCCAAGGTCAACTCTCCTTTGGATCTGCAATTCATGCCTGTCTCAGAGGCATTCGGGACTTCCTGTATACTGTAACCATCTTGGGAAGCATTTGTTCCATCATCTCTTGTCCAATCAGAGGGTCCTCTGTCTCTCTCGTTTGACTTCAACCAGAGGTCGTCGTGTGTCCAGTCGAAATCTTCATTCGACTTCTGTGGGTTCATCCCGCCACTCAGCTTCAGGTCCTAGTGGCGATTCCCAACCGCCCGCGGCAAATTCCCAACCGAACGTCCAAAAAACTGAGTTCTTCTGCTTCGACCCTCACCACTTCATCTCAAGATTGACACCTTTTTTCGGGTCCCTAACGAGTTCTGAAAGGTTCCTGTCGATCTTCCACGTTGAAAATGATTCTGCAGAGTCGCTTCCTCCGCTTCCTCCCCAGCTACTTCCATCCGGAATCCAGGGTCAGGACCCTCTCCGCACCCAGGTTCTGCAGCACTTTCCGGCCGTGCCACGGACAGGGCCCGACCTGGTGCATTGATATGGAGGCGGTGGCGACAGTCGTCCTTGGATGTCGTCATGTTTGGAAAGGTGAATGTTAATTCTATATAATATTAGCTTTTTGTTACTACCAGTAAGGCACCTGTTACTACTAGCGTGGCACTTGTTACTACTAGCTTCTTGTTAGGAGAATGATGAGAATGACACGAGTTTTGGAATTGTGCCACATTCGTCCTAATGTTGTTGACTGTAGTAGATAGAGGTTGTGATGCAGTTCATCATGTAGTTGACAGTACATCCCCCCCAACAGAACGAGCCGCCCACCCGAACGCGCCCGGGCTTCGTTGAACCGACGCTTCAAGCGCCGCTTGAAACTGCACCTTCTCAGGCCGGACGCTGCAAAGCCACCGCCGAGATCAACCTCCTGGGCGTGAGGCAGGATGGATGAGCTGTGGATGGAAGGGGAGCCGGTTCAACGGCCCCGAAGCTGCCGTTCCACACGACGTCGGGGTCAAAAACTCCGCGACAGCCGACTGCGCGTCCAAATTACTTGTAGTTGAAAGGAACAGGCGCCTTAAACCCATATTCATATACCATTAGCTTAAAATCTCCTATAGGATTCAAGTCTTACTTTGTGATCTCCTATACCCTCCCATCAAACTAGCATAGAAAGGGTAGTGCTTTTGCTTCGTTCTTTTTGCGATCTCCGCGTGGTCGCCTTTTCACCCCCACTCCGCTTGACCACTTCACTCCGCAGTGTCTTGACTCCGCCAGGCACAGTTTCGCTGGTACACCAGCATGCCAGGTTCAGGAAGCCAAGGAGGATACGGCCCGCCGTGGCTAAGCAAGGAGTGCTGGTGAGCAGGAGAAGCAGTGAAGGAGGTTAAGGGGACAGAGCAGGAGTTGAAGAGTTTGGAAGAAGTTTCACTCAAAGCTTGTGCAAGGGACATCATATAAGAAGGTTTGGGCTTGTTACTGTATAATGAAAGAGCTTATATAAATACAATCAACATTGTATGGGCAGCAAACCATACCAATGTGACCCAGACTTGTGACTGGCAAGAACATTTGACCGCCACAGCCACCTTGTCATCATTCAGCTCGAAACCAGGAGCCTCGGAAGGTTACTCTCAAGTTGCAAGTTCAGGGGTTACAGGGCACACCAGAAGCGAAATTCGCTTGCGTTCACTTGAGCTTATTATGTTGGATATGTTTTCACAACAGATCCATGAACCTCCCTCTGAAACCAGCAACGTCTCCACCAGATTTATTCGCCACCCCCAGCAGTTTTCACAAGTCCAAAGAAGGACTTTGACCAAAATTGACGGTGACAGATCTTTGTAAAACCCGACCGCGATGCGGCTCTGAGGTGTCCTATGGTATTTGCAATGCCCCGGTTATGAGACCCTCTTCGAGCCAGATGTGCAGGGAGTGGCTGCTGTGGCCAAGGAGTGCTCCAGAGATAGGGAGAAAACTCGGTGTAGAGATCAGGAGCAGAGGAGTAACGGGTGATCTCAAGCTGCTCAAGAACTGCGTTTGGAGGGTCACTGTTTGGAGCTGCTTTCTGCTTGCGAAACGTGAGTCTTCTCCTGGCTCTGGACAGATGTTTGGACGAAATCCGCCAATCCGCCTGACAAATTGATGAAATGGAGTATCGAGATGTATCGAGCTTCGTATCGCTTTTGGCCAGCAAGACCAGCTTATTCCCCTTTTTGTGATATTTTCAGGTCGAATATTCATACGAAACCATCGATTCCATGGACCTGTCACAAGGTCATTCTCGATGAGAGGTGAAAACAGGTGTCAGCATTTCTGGTCTTTCCCGCGTTCACGTTCCGATTCTTTTCAGCCTCATCCGTGCCAGGAGATTCCCACACCTCCCTCCAATTGGGCGCGGGGTGGAGGTTGGAAGGAAGGTGACCTATCTCCACAAAGCTCTGAAAGACACCAAAGCTCAAAGACTGATTTCTCCACCTAAGATGCGGATGAAGGTGATCGGTCACCCATCCAAACCCTTTGTTCGGTCATGGGGGGCCTGGTCCGTCTCTTTTCTTCGGTTTTGTGGCGAGATCGGAGCTGAAGGAGCCGAAAAGGTGGATGAGAAGGACCTCTAAGGAGTATACTGTATACTGTATACTGGGCGGTGCATTTGAAAGACGAACACATGGTGGACTTGGGCAGTTGCCCAGCTCGGCTTAAAAGGGGTCCACAGTCCCTGACGTACGGGGAAAAAGGAAAAAGGTTCAGCCATGTGATGTGTCCTAAACCCACTGAGCAAAGAAGCTCTGATGTGAATGAGTCTTATTGTCTTGCCGAAGAGGCTTTCCCATGGCGCCTCATCCACATTTGGGCTGGGGCTTGCTGACACAGACTTCGATAGAAGGAATTTCCAAGGAAGCAAAGTCTCATGCAGATAGAGATGCGATGCCAAAGTATGGTTCAAAGGGATTCACCTGAAAAAAGAGACATGGTCTTTCGCCAAATCATGTCCTTTTGATTGACCTAGAATAACTTTTCAAGCCCTTGAACATGCTGGAGGTTGAGACAGCGTTGACCCAATCTTGTTCTGGCCGTTGACCATCATCACTGGGGGGGCCAAAGCACGGTGCAGGTGACTCTCAGCGAGGATGATGAGTCAGCTCGGGTGCTTAGGAATGCTGTGGTGAACATCCCTCCTTATAGATCCGAAAAATTGCATTTTGGATCCAGAAACACAAAACCAACTCATGTTTCCCCCGCTCCTGCCGCGCTGGGACAGGGCTGTCTAATTTTGGAGTTCAACGGAGTATTTCGTGGGGGGGGGGGTACAGATCCACTGTGCACTGGAGAGTTCGGTGTGCGGATCTGATAGTTTTGGACCATTTTGGATTCGGATGCCTCTGAGATTTCAGGAGAATGGGTCTTTTCTTTTCTCGCTTTTCATTTGGATGTTTCGTTTGCAACATGAGCCGCCTCAAAGAACCTCCAAGGATGCCACCTCTTGACATGAGGGTTGAAACAGACAAATGGACATGGCAAACCAAACTACCTTGAGAAGGATCTGGTGGGTGCACAGAATCAGAGTTTCAGTTTCAATCAGTTCAAGCAATAGCGGGCTTAGGGAGAGAAGTCAAGGCAGACCATGCCCAGTTGAAGCGTGTCTTCTTGCCACTCCACCAAGCAGCTTGTAAGACCGGGAACGAACATCTAGGAAGGCGCCAGCTTAGCTCAGCAGGAAGTTGAGTGTAGCCAGACCTCCCATTTGCCACTTAGCGACGACGCACCAGCTCCTGCGCATTTTCCAGGTCCAGGCTGCAGAACGAAAGACTGCGGTGATGCGACTACAGAACCGCCTGCAGCAGAGCTTCGCTAAGAAGCTGAAGCCCGGACAAGGCGCAGAGCGGTCCAATCACCCGCAGCAGAGTGGTTTGCGACGAATGCTGAGTTCGCTTGTTGAGTTCTGGGTGTTTCTTGGCCTTGCAGCCTCCCGTTCTGCCTGCAAGCCGTGGTATTTTTTACGTTTTTGTAGCATACAGCATACATGTCATGCACTGAACCATATCATATTGGGCCTTCTCACCCTGCAGATGGGATTTCGTGACCGAATTCTTACCGACTTCGATGATCCTCATCCTTTCCATGTTTCAACCAACCGCTCACCGCTCCCCCCTCCAAGCTCCACCCGACCCTTCTCTTCTCTCCGCTCCACCCTTCTCTTCTCTCTCGCTGTAGAAAGCTGCCAGCTGCTTGGCAGGTGTATGGGAATGGTCTTATGAGACCGATGCTCGGGATGAGAGCTGGCCACCCCTGCAGCGAGCCACCGTTCACGTCCCCGTGGCGCAGCAGTCCTTCACCGGGCGCGGGCGGAGGGGTAAGGGGTGAAGGGGGTCTTTCTTGGTTTGTTTTGGATGGACAAAAGGATAAAAAGGTTGGAGAAGCTTTTTCATCATTTTTTGTTGTGTTGCTTGGAACGGCATGGAAGTTCCCAAGTGGGTTGAGATTCGCACCCTTGGCAGACGGATGTTTCAGGAGGTTCGGTTCCCCAAAAATACACGAGTGGACTGCACACGAGTGGATCTGCCCCTCACCAAGACTTCATCAGGTTGGCATAGAGTGATCCTCAAGAACATGGGAACTTGCAAAAAAGCCACCAGACCTAACTCCTTCTCCCTTGGTTTTTCTCACATTCTCTCACACTCATGAGCCGCTCAGGCCAGTAAACATTTAGCCTTCACTCTGAATGGCCCACTTTTCTGTGTCCGACCTGACTGGCCCACAGCGACCAGCAGATGCCGAAAAAAGGGCTTTGGCTTATGCCTTATGCTCGGGTCTCCCATCTTCACGTCCCGACAGGCCCTGGAAACGGGGCCAGAGGGAGGCTCAGCTGGAGGCGCAGAACGGTTTTTTTCCGTTGAAGCACTGCAAAGGTGGGTTTCTCAGCCTTTCCACCTCCAAAGACACTGCAAAGAGTGAGACTCCTCTAACTCCGGCTTCAAACATAATATTTTCGGAAGACTCATCGAAGCAAGGATGTTTGTGGAGGACATATCCGAAGCCTTGACTGGGGAAGAGAGTAAGAACATCACGAGTTTTTCTTGGTGGGCTTGGATCTTGGGACTTCCCCAATGACTGGATTTGCAAGGGAGTTTCCTGGGTTTCCTTCGTTTTGCTTGGAGCCGTAGACCACCTGGGATGGGTGTCACAAGCAGTTCCTCGCAAGTGCTTTGCCCAGAGGCCTGCCAATTGCTGCAGACCTTTCTTGATTCTTTGGAGCGGCCCGAGGACGATGGTTGTGGCGACACATGGATTGTGTGTTTGGAACAGAGAACTGACACTCCCCATGAACCGACACGCTTAAACAAGAACTCAAGGAACCAAGATCACAAGAAACCTTGCTCCTGCTGCACCTGCTTCTGTTTAGTTTTGCATTGTTTCATTTGTTTGGGTCCTTTTGGGTCACTTTCTTGGCCAAAAACTGGACGGAACCGTAGACCCCCCACCCTTGCGAGCCAGGACACCGCATGCGGAGCCAGCCGGTAAATCGCGTTTCAGCTGTGTGCCGATTGTCAGACCGGGAGAAGGGTCTGGTGAGGGATCCAGGGTGTGGAGACTACTAGCGATGGCCTCCAACCTACTAGCGATGGCCTCCATCTAGCCTGTGCACACCGTGCGGCGACATGACGTCTGTGATGTCGCTGTGCCATGCTGTTTGGCGCGCGGTGGAAAGTGCGCTTGCGTGAGTCAGTGCCAATGGGGGAAGGAAAACGTGCTGGTGTAATTCCGCGCGTCGCTGGGGAGCGGGATGATTCGCGGTGTCCACGAGGCTTGTGGTATTATCGGTTCTGTTTTGGTGATGGTTCGCTGGCGTTTTGCGGAGTGTCTCGCTCATCTTTTGGTTGCGTCTCGGTCTCAGTCTTGGTGTGTGTGCAAACGGTGTGCTTGCATGTCCATTGCGCACGTGAATGTAAAACCTTTACGTGGCGGCAAAAAATGCTTCGCTTGACACGAGCATCCCCTGTACCATTCATGTGTAAACTTTTTGTTGGCGAGGAATACATGTCTGCCTAATGTAGAGAACTGCCTTTTGACAAGCATTCGTTTCGTTGTTGTGTTTAAACTACCCGCGTGAGTCCAAACCCGTAACTCTTAAGTTATGGTCTCTTTGCCGTCTGCCTTCGCAGTACCTGTCGTGCAATTCGTGGTAGTATGCTGATTATTGTTGTCATTTGTTCAGACTTGATGTCCTATGATGTTCTTTGTCTTTGAGACGTCTCACTCTTTGTCCCTGTGGAGGTTTCGTGCGTCCTTTTCCAAACACCTATTGGTAAATGTTTTTTCGCTGGCACTGGAATTCTTTAGTTGCCTATATTGTTGCGCGGAGAATGTTTTTGGGTGTAAAAACTGTGCGGGTGCGCATTCCTTAACTGGTTCGTGGTCTATGAAAACTACATGTTTGGAATAACCTTTGCGATTGCATTTCAAAAAACTCTGGGCTTGGTGGAATTTGTTCTCATTTCTTCTCGGCGTGTAAATAAAAACTGCTGGTTTGACACTCCGTTTCTTGCATCGTTCGTGCATATGTCGTGCTTCGCCACAGCATTACTCAATCTATTTCCATACCAAAGTTGGTCCCGCAGAGTATCCACTGCACCTACTGCCGAGAATTCCACGCCAAAAATGGCGCAGGGCCAAACATCGCTTCCTGACGTACGTAGGTGCCCAAAAACCCCCGCCCACACCCATGTCGAACGCAAGGTGTCAATAACCACGTTGGACATTCGCCACAGCGCAGTGTCCTCAAGCGCGTGGATATTCGATATGTGAAAGAACAATGCAACGAGGCAGCCACGCAGAAAAGATGCGCCAGATCTTGGTGGATGTTTTTTCTATTGGGGTTGTCAGTTGGGTTAATTTTCGACACCAAGTTTCAGCATGAATGACGTTGATTTTGGTCTGCTTTTTAAACCGTTGACAAGTTCAGAAGGCTTCAAGCTCATATGGCTTTCCGCCTGTTGTAGTGGACTGGTGATTCACTCATTGACACTACCCTGTGGTCAGTGGCAATTGTTCAATTGGGGGTGTAGTAAAGAAGTTACTCTATATAAATATGATATTTTTGACACGTTTTTTTCTAAATATATATCATATCAAACATTGAAGAAATTCATCTTGGCATTGCGCATATCTGCGATCATCCACCTCTGGGCTGTTGCGGTCCCAAAAACGTCGTGTGGTGCGCTTGGCTGCGCTAAGGTGCAAGCCAGATGTTGGCCAGCCAAGATCTGTGTTGAGCGGTATTCTTCGTCTCAGCTCGGCCAGCTACTGGGACTGAAGGTGTTTTGGTTAAGGAAACCTGCGGCTGACTCACTGGAATCCAACTGGAACTGAAAAGCTTCAACAGGCAACTGATGGGGAGACGATTGGAACTTCAGAACTGGGGGTCCAACGACCTGTTTCCTTCTGAACTTGTGGCTTGAATGGCTTTCCAACGACCTGGTGGTCCCCCGTTCAAGAATCAGAGATGCGAAGTTCTCTCCTCGGCCTTTTGTTATCTCTCAGATTCTCGCCTTTCGTCCTCCTGTTTGCCCAACCCGAGCCAAACAACACCAGTCACCGCATCGAAGCTTCTCAACCCCGAGTTCAACCCAACTCCTATTCGAGGACGAATCGGTGTGGTCGGTCTGGTGGTTCGCCCCAAGGACCGTCTAGACGCCTGTGGTCTCAGAAGACCCACAGGACCCGGCGAGCCGGGAAGATTTACAGCCGAAGGAGTCGGTGTGGGGAGGCTGGGGGGGAAAACGAGAATCCAAGTCTTGTTGAAGGAAGAAAAGCTCAAGTGGAGTAGCTTCAAGTGTTTCTTTTTTCAGAACCATTCAATTGGCACTCTTTTTTCTTGGAATAGACCATTCTGGATTATGTGGACCTAGATTTCCCCCTGCAAACATCCAGACCGACTCCGTGCGTGTCTCCATGGCATGACCTGGAAACTGCTCAGGACTGGCAACGATGAGATGAAACTCATTCAGAGGCGCGAACTCCGAATCTCATGAGTGCGTCCTTTTTCACGGTGTGGCTGGACAGACCTCCACACGGTTGGAGGAGCTTCCTTTGGAGATGGAGACGGACAAGTCCGAACGTTCTGTTTCCTTTTTGGGTCGAAAACTACTCACTAGATTCATTCAGAGTCTAGAATACTAGTTCCTGTTGGTGGAGCTGGTCTTCAGATGCACGAATCTTCGCAGCGGCGTCAGGAGACTCAGTTTTGTCCCCTTAGTCAGGCGCGGAAGGGCGGGGGCATGCAAGCTCTGCAGGCTGCATGAAAAATCAGAGGGGCTGGATCTTCACAACGGACCGGAACCGGAATTCCAGCACTCTGAAGGTCCTTCTCATTGCCTTGTATGCTCTTCCAAAATGCTAGGGCTTTGGTGCTTCTTTGGCTTCCACGAAGCCCTTGTCATTCAAGGGTCCTGAACTGCTGCTGATCTGGGAACATGAAAACTACAGATCAAACGTTCGCAAAAGAGTCACAACGGGCAGCCCTTTCCGCAGGATCCTCAGAATCCTTTCAAGTACACGGTGTCAAATTCACCAGTCGAAAGAGTGTAGCTTCGAGTCGACTCGAGCCTCAATGTGCGAAAGGTTTCTTTGAACAAATCGCTCTGCCTAGGCTTGAAGGCCATCGCTTCTAGGTTGGAGGCCATTGCTTTTAGGTTGGAGGCCATCGCTTCTAGGTTGGAGGCCATTGCTTTTAGGTTGGAGGCCATCTCTTCTAGGTTGGAGGCCTCGCTATTAGGCTAGGTTAGCTTCTATTATTTTTTGATTCCCATGGATTCCTTTCGAAGCGGGAGCCCTTCGGAGACCGGTCAGGTTGGGACTGTGAGGATCAATTCGGCGTTGGTCTTAGGCCCGTGGGCATCAGTTGCCAATGTAAAGCTGGGAGTGCTTTGTGTGGACTTTCCGATCAAGCTGCTGCCGGGCTGACCTTGGTCTGAAAGAAGCTTGGGTTTTCAATCTTTTCGGTTTCTTTGAGGCTGCAAAAGATGGACAGACTGGATTCTTTCTCACTTTTGGTCAATGAACCCTTCCCATAATTGTGTGCAAAAATAGTTCTATTCATCATCAGTGGCTCTTCCTGGGTTTCTGGCACTCTGAGAGGCCTGAACATGCTTGATAAGCATGCTTGATATAAGCATGCTTGATAAGTAGATTTGACTGGATTTGGACTGACCAACAGCTCGCTGGACATACAGAATTGACCAGAGATCACAAGTGCGAAACGTGATACTTCTTTTGAGGGCATCTGATTCCATGAGCTCGTAGATAAAATGGAATCGACCTATGAGCAACGAACCACTTGGCATACGTCTCCAAGCCCCTCCAAA